TATATATATATATAATATATATATTAAATTTTTTATATATATTTTGATGTTGAAATATGTGATATTCAGTTTTCAGGGCAATACATCAATCAAAAAATTTGTATGACTTTAAAAAACATTTTATTTATTCCATACGTTTCGACACATTTTTTGTGTCATCTTCAGTGACTCTAGATTGAAAGAACAGATAGAAATTATTAAATAAAACTAATATATAAGAAGTGATATGGTATGAACTTACATGTAATTGAATTAATCCTAATTATTTCATATTATAAATGTTCACAATGCACAATCCTAATTATTTCGTATTATAGATGTTCACAATGAACAATCCTAATTATTTCATATTATAAATGTTCACATGCACTAAAAAACTAATCCTTGTCATTTTAAGTTGAACAATATATAAATTTTTGACTGAGATTTTTAGAATTTGTGAAGTACATCGCGCCGTACATTTCTGTGCTCCGATGTACGGGTGCCTACTGAATGTACGTCAATGTGCGAACCACATGTTGAGGGCTAGGTACAAGGCAAACGAACTGACCAAAGAATTTAAGATTTGACAACGCGAGAGGGTACATATAGTGAAATATAAGAACATGACAATTGTGAGGGTGGACATAATTAGTAAAATTGAGATCAAATTAAAAGAAAAAGAAAAAGAAAAATTGGCATTAAAATTAATATAATTAAACGTCGATCATGATAGGTAACTATTTTAAAGGTATGAATTTCGAGACTTGTTTAAGACTACTTGGTAATTCTCGCACAATGAGGAAGTATCCCAATCTTTTGTTTAAACTATTTTTTAAAGTGTATCAGACAAGATTCTGAAAAGCGTCTCTGAGATGTATTCGATTCGTGATATAAAATTGTGGCCACATCAAAATTGAAAATATGATTGAAATTTTGTATGTGATCAGTTATCATTGTTTGATTTTGATTTTTATTTTTGGAATTGTTATAATGTTGTCTAAGACGTTTTTTAGATTTGTCCAGTTTCGCCAATATAAGTGGCCTCACAATTTGTACAGTCAATTTTATATACGATGTTAGAAATACGATCTAAACTTGTCGGTGATTTTAAGTTCGAAAATAAAAAGTTGAGAGTCTGATCATATTTGCAAACTAAACGCAAATCCGCGAATTCAAATAGTTTTTTCCAAATAAAAGAGATTCTTAATGAAGGGAGACAAATAGTGCCAACAAACTTATTTTCTTCTTTTTCTGGGACTCGAGGGAAAGATGAATATGTTTTGTGTTAAGGACGGAAAGTCTGTTGTTAATTACTGATTTTATAAGGTGTGGAGGATAGCAATTATTTAATAGGGTTCTGTGGATTCAGATAGGTTAAAAGGCACAAAATTTTTATCTGACAAGAGAATAGCATGATCAACTAAATTGATAATGGTACCGATTTTCATGTTAGTGGGATGATAAGAATGGAAATTGAGATATCTGCCAGACCACGTTGGTTTCTGGTACCAGTTAGTAATAATTTTATTATCTGTAGTTTTTATGATATTTACATCTAAAAAGCTAATTGACCTATTGTGTTCTTTTTCGAAGGTAAAGGTTAGGTGTTTATTAAAGGAGTTAAAATTTTTTAGTAAAGAATCAAAGTTATTTTTAGGAATGCAAGTAATTATATCATCAACGTATCTGTAGTAAAGAAAAATTCAACATTAGATAGCTTAAAAACATTTTTTCAACATTTCTTTACAACATCTTGAAAAAAATGTTTTTAAGCTATCTAATGTTGAATTTTTCCTTTACTACAGATACGTTGATGATATAATTACTTGCATTCCTAAAAATAACTTTGATTCTTTACTAAAAAATTTTAACTCCTTTAATAAACACCTAACCTTTACCTTCGAAAAGAACACAATAGGTCAATTAGCTTTTTAGATGTAAATATCATAAAAACTACAGATAATAAAATTATTACTAACTGGTACCAGAAACCAACGTGGTCTGGCAGATATCTCAATTTCCATTCTTATCATCCCACTAACATGAAAATCGGTACCATTATCAATTTAGTTGATCATGCTATTCTCTTGTCAGATAAAAAATTTTGGCCTTTTAACCTATCTCTAATCCACAGAACCCTATTAAATAATTGCTATCCTCCACACCTTATAAAATCAGTTAATTAACAACAGACTTTCCGTCCTTAACACAAAACATAATCATCTTTCCCTCGAGTCCCAAAAAAAGAAGAAAATAAGTTTGTTGGCACTATTTGTCTCCCTTACATTAAGAATCTCTTTCCTATTTGGAAAAACTATTTGAATTCGCGGATTTGCGTTTAGTTTGCAATATTGATCAGACTCTCAACTTTTTATTTTCGAACTTAAAATCACCGACAAGTTTAGATCGTATTTCTAACATCGTATATAAAATTGACTGTACAAATTGTGAGGCCACTTATATTGGCGAAACTGGACAACATCTAAAAAAACGTCTTAGACAACATTATAACAATTCCAAAATAAAATCAAATCAACAATGATAACTGATCACATACAAAATTTCAATCATATTTTCAATTTTGATGTGGCCACAATTTTATATCACGAATCGAATACATCTCAGAGACGCTTTTCAGAATCTTGTCTGATACACCTTTACAAAATAGTTTAAACAAAAGATTGGATACTTCCTCACTGTGCGAGAATTACCAAGTAGTCTTAAACAATGTCTCGAAATTCATACTTTAAAATAGTTACCTATCATGATCGACGTTTAATTATATTAATTTTAATGCCAATTTTCTTTTTCTTTTTCTTTTAATTTTGATCTCAATTTTACTAATTATGTCCACCCTCACAATTGTCATGTTCTTATATTTCACTATATGTACCCTCTCGCGTTGTCAAATCTTAAATTCTTTGGTCAGTTCGTTTGCCTTGTACCTCAGCCCTCAACATGTGGTTCGCACATTGACGTACATTCAGTAGGCACCCGTACATCGGAGCACAGAAATGTACGGCGCGATGTACTTCACAAATTCATAAAAATCTCAGTCAAAAATTTTTATATATTGTTCAACTTAAAATGACAAGGATTAGTTTTTAGTGCACTGTGAACATTTATAATATGAAATAATTAGGATTGTTCATTGTGAACATCTATAATACGAAATAATTAGGATTGTGCATTGTGAACATTTATAATATGAAATAATTAGGATTAATTCAATTACATGTAAGTTCATACCATATCACTTCTTATATATTAGTTTTATTTAATAATTTCTATCTGTTCTTTCAATCTAGAGTCCACTGAAGATGACACAAAACAATGTGTCGAAACGTATGGAATAAATAAAAATGTTTTTAAAGTCATACAAATTTTTTAATTGATGTATGCCCTGAAAACTGAATATCATCATATATATATATATATATATGATATTCAGTTTTCAGGGCAATACATCAATTAAAAAAAAATTATTTTTTCCATACGTTTCGACACATAGTTTTGTGTCATCTTCACATATTTCAACATCAAAATTATACAAAAAATTTAATATATATATATATATATATATATATATATATATTAAATATTAAATATTATTATATTGTTTTTTATTGATGTTATGCCCGATTATTAGACTTTGTTAATATATATATATATATATATATATATATATATATATATATATAAATATATATAACTATTCAAATATCTGTTTCCCTTTATCACCTTGAATCTTGCAGTTAAATAGAGCAATAGGAAACATAAAATTAGCCTATCATACTTCAATATTTACTACATTACAAAGTCTTCGGTGATAAAAAGGGCTCCAAGGGCTTCGAAACGGAGGGTCCCTGGACTCAGGTTTCATATCTGAGTATATTTTCGCATCTTTTGTCAAAAAGCAAAAGCCCTAACGGAGCGTTATTATTCAACAATGTCGTCTCGTTTTGAAGCGGAGTCGGCGCTAATGGAGTTGCATTGTTGTGACCCCTTAACTTCGATCGACCCTCGACGAAGGCAAAGATTCCTTCCTCGTCAAACAGTTTTCCCTACATCCAAACGACGCATTCCATTCCACTTAGGTTTTTCTTTTTTTCACACATCGCATCTCGAAGATGAAGAATCAGGCTTCTTCCTGTTTGAACGTCTCTGCTCTAGAGAGGTCGTATCGATTGATACCGTTGATGTTTTCAAGTGGCCAAGATGAAATTTTATTAAAAGCGAAGTTGTTTAATTTGAATATGATATGCAGATATTTACACAGAAAGCAAAATGATTGCAGATACTACAAACAACAAATAGAATGTAATGAGTAGTAGAATAAAAATTTTAGTCAATAATCAAGGAATAGAAATTATATCATTATTGACTTAATTACGACCCTTATTGCATAATTTCTGCAATTCTCATCAAATTTGAAACTTAAAAATTCTTTAAAAAATGTTTGCTCTAAATATAAGATGCTTTTTCCTTCCCAATCAGTTATGAGTCCATTTAAAAATAATTTTATTTTGAGCCAATAAACTTATGCGTATAAAACGTTTGCATAATAATTGTATTAATAATGGTAAAAGCTCAAACACAAAAGCCCCAGAACTCGAAATTCATTACGCATATGCTTGATGCGCATTTGCATATTCGGCCGGTCCGCATCGGAGCGTGCGATGCGTTCGTTGTGATTTTATGGCGCGTGATGGTCCCGAATTTCCTGCACAGTTTTTTGAGGAAATGTTTAATTTTTTGGCATTGTTGAATTGAAGTTTGCTTCTGTGTAGTCATTTGGATAGCAAAAAATTAAATTCACATTTTGTTCTTATATTAATTAATCATTCTTCATGCACTCGTTGCATATATGTCATTTTTAATGTTAACCATTATTAGTCTAATAAGGGTACTAATTAATAATCCAAAAATGATAATGCGCTTTTCACTATTTTGAATCTAATTTATAATTAAACACGGCCCGAATTTTATTTTGCAAACAATTGCTGTTATTGACAACAGTCACAACTACGTATTTTGCTTTTGTTTGATGTCGTAAATTTTTTCTAAGTATTTTCCATGACAATGTAGGATGATTATGAACAGATATGTATATCTGATAGTGTTAGCAATATATATATATATATATATATATATATACATATATATATATATATATGGGTGTGTGTAGGTATGTATGTATGTATAGATAATAAGTTGCAGCAATGCCCCCTAAAGGCAAGTTTTACTTGAGATTAATTATTGATATATATAATCTCAAGTTGAAATTTATTATCGTACTGCTTGATATCAATCTGGCCAGGTTGGAACATTGAAAATTGAAATATCTTAATTCTTACGTAGTATCCAAGAAGAACTGTTCACAGCAATGTAATGCAGTAGTTATAAAATGTTTCTTTTGATAAAAACATAAATTTCGTATTATTATAATCGTAAAGTCTGTAATAATGATAATATATTAAAGCCTGTAACTTCATTATTTTTGTTATATGTGGTTAATAAATAGTAAAAACACAGTTCACTTGTACATCAAAGTACTTGGAAAGTAAGATAGTTCATAATATGCAAATATTCTAAATATTTTGATTTCATTTTTTTGCTAACTCTATTTCAAAGTTCCTTATAGCAAAGCTTAAGGACAAATTATTTTAAACTTCAAAGTAGGAGTTGTAATTTACCTATTTTGATCCAATCGATTAATTAACACTGCCAAATCGATTTGAAAAGAAGTAATAGATTATATACTACTCTATGTCACTGATTGCCATCTTTTCAAACCAATGAGTTATCAACTATATTATTATTAAGAACCATTTTAAGGTTTATTATTTGTAATTAATAGCTGTGACTTACTTTATTAAAGATGATTATTTTATTATTTTATTGTGAAGATCATATCGATTATATTAGGTGACCATAATTTTTTAAGTCAAAACTGGGATGGCTATTTTTAGTAATGAGAAAGGTCTGGCTTTAAAATAACAAATGTATTTAAGGATGCACCAAAATATCTGTTTTTTAATCGGAATTGCGGACTTTTATATAATATTTAATTAAATATAGTATATTTATCTATGTTTTACTTCTGTATTTCTCGCTTTTGAGCCTTGTATAAAACTATACTCAATTTTCTTAATAATTAATTTAAAAAAAATAGCTGGCTTGTTTATGTTTATAATTTTTGTTAATTTATCTATTATTTTTCAATAAACCTGGATAATCCGCAACAAAAAAAATTAAATCCGGGACAAAGACTGCTTTTAGATAAACCCGAAACACTGGTGGAAATGCGGGACTGTCCCGGCCAAACCCGGACGTATCACATTAATTATATACAATAATTCCTCAATACTATTATTTTATATGTCTCTATCTAAATGTTTTTTATTATTTCAAATGTCTCAATTTTCTCTTACAGACGGAGTCATCACACGGTATAATTTTCAACTGGACAGTAGGCATGGAGAGCGCCGTCGATTCCTCGTTCTTCTGGGGTTATTTCTTTACGCAAATTCCGGGCGGATTTTTGGCTTCTATGTATCCCGCCAACCGGATATTTGGAACAGCCATCGTCGGAACATCCTTTCTGAATCTGTTGATGCCCGGAGCGATGGATCTACATCCTACGGTCGTTATCATAGTTAGGATCATGCAGGGACTAGTCGAGGTAAATTATATATATATATATATATATATATATATATATATAATCTTCCACGTGCTTCAATAATTTCCTGATAATGATTTCTAGTGTGCTCCATAAATTCCTGTTCCTTATGAGCGATGTTATCAAAACCTTACGGTCTTGATGTATGTCGTACAATATCTTATTTTGCGGATGATGCCCATAATCGCATATGGGAGTCGTAATGCTCGAATCAAAAGCAATGACAATACAGAATATGATTCTCCTGCCGTTAAATCCTTCGCTCAGATCCTTCCGCCCGGCTGATCCTTTTCATTGAACAGACATGAACAGCAGCGGCAAAATCCCGCCGACGCGCGATTATCATTTCTTTTATATACACGTGATACATGTATAACAACAACGCACGATATGCTCACATCAAAATAACGGATTTGGATTTATTATTGATGCGTAAATCTTATAAATCAGCCACTAGATGATAAAATGAAATAGCCAGAATTTAAGGAATTCGTGAAATAGCTGGAACTTTCCTTTAAAATTTTTGAACGCCTTAATTTTTTTTTAATCTTGAAATATTGGGCTTTTTTACCCCGTATCTTTAAATCGGAGCTGCCCCTGTCGGAACTAATCAGCACGTCTCCCCATCAATAGCAATATAATGTTTTTTTAATCAGAACGGTTGCCCGTGCTCTCAAAATTGTATCCGCACATACACACAAACATGCTACATACACACATACACAATATTTTCTGTTGTTTCTTCAACGTAAAAAATTATATATCTTTTTTACTAAATAGCTTTGAAAAATATTATAGCTTTTATATCTATTTAGGTCTATTTAATAATTAATTTTTTGTTTTAGGGTGTTTTATCCAAAGTTGCGTATTTGAACACTTTTTTGGTTTAAAATCAATAGGATTGGTGATTCTTGAATAATTCAAATCTGGTGACCCGTGCTCTAGAATTTTTGGACAAAAAAATGTATCCAAACATACACACAAACTTACCACATACACACACATTTCTCGTGGGTTCTTCACCGTATAAAATTATATATCATTTACAGAGTCTATAAATTACCTTCAGATAATAATATATATATTGAATATTTTCTTTTAGTGTGCTTATCCCAAGTTGCGTATTTGAGCACATTTCTCGTTAAAATTTTTGTAAAAATAATTTCATTTGAATCCAGAACAAATATTGCTTCTTGAAAAATCCATTAAGTGGAAATCTAGGATGATTACTTTAGGTTAATAGGTATAATGCACGCTGTATCACACTTTTTTCATATAATTACAATCTCTCTATAAAGAAAAACATTGAGTAATTAATTTGATAAATAAAATTAAATTCTAAAAGGAAACCTCAGTGGTTCACCTTTTACTAATGTACTAAATTAGGTCGAAATTTAGTTTTGGTATTAAAAAGACAAAAAAAGAATCTTTATTATATACTAACAATTATAAACAATTATATTACACAGACTATACATACACACATACATATAGAACAATATATTATTGACTAAAGTGAAAGTAAAAACCTATCAAATGTAAGGTGACCATACGTCCCGGATTTTCCGGGACAGTCCCGATTTTCCGCCTTGCGTCCCGATTTTTTCTAAAAGCAATATTTTGTCCCGGATTGTCCCGGATTTTTAAAAATAGTTTGATTGCTATTTTTTAAATGTATTTCAACTAGAAAATTTAAACCGAAAAAATGTACATATAAGTTTTTAGCTCACCAACACCCCCTCCGCTCGCACACACATTCTGGTCTGTCCCGGATTACATGCAAAAAAATATGGTCACCTTAATTAAATGCGTTATTCTTATAGTATACATGGTGTTGTAAAGACTCGCTATCAGTTCCTTTGAACATTATATCACAAAAATATTAATAACTAAATTTAAAAAAAAATATTATTTAAAAGTGGAGGATATTTGTGTTTGTGTTAAATTCTAGAATTAGAATTCTATAATTTTGATATTTTTGATTGTATGACAATCATATGTTATTCTGATTTAATAAATATATTTTCATTATTTCTTTAAATATGAGTAAGTATATCTACCTTTATTACAATTATATCCTAGGGTGTAACATACCCGGCGTGCCACGGTATCTGGCGATTCTGGGCCCCGCCTCTGGAGCGCTCACGTTTGGCTACAATTGCGTTCTGCGGCTCCTACGCCGGCGTAGTCGTCGGAATGCCGCTATCAGGTATACTAGCCGGCAAAATAGGTTGGCAGGCCCCATTCTACTTCTATGGTGTCTTCGGACTTATATGGTGAGCTTTATAATACATTGTGAATGGTAAAAATTTTAATATATGTAACACAGATATTACTATCAAAAGACGTTATTTTTGTAATCTCCATAACTATATTAGATTATTTCATTGATTTAATAAAATTTAACTAGTAACATCAAATATAAACATAGTAGATTTTTTTTTCATTTTATTATTTCCTTATGAAAAGGTTAGGAGGTTAGTAATCAATTTTCGAAGTAGTAAATAAATATTTTGTGTTATTTTTTATTCAGAGTAAAATCATACCCGTTAAGACGATTTCTCAGAATGGAGTTTTGGAGCAGTTTAGAGACAATATGTTACAATGTGCATGCATCGAATTATGCAAAAAATCACATTAAGCTTGACAGTCATAATTAGTGTTTACTGTATATAGTGCTTAGTTCTATATATTTTCCTCTAAATTCAAATACGCCATAAACCTGTCCCAGAGATTTTTCTTACCCCTGACCTTCTACAATACATTTTATGGAATCATTTGGATTTCGAAGTTTCGCAGAACGTGACATATTAGCACGATTTCAACATTGACGTCATAATCCTCCTGCTTACTCTTCGTAATATCTAAATTATCACATGCGACCGTTTTTCTGATAGAGGGTGGAAACGTCTTATTTTAATACATTTTTCTGAAATAAAACATGTTTTTCTCATAAAAGTTGTATCTTGTCTTCATTATGCCAGAGTTGAGAAAAATATTATATGTCATCACTTTTACAACCCTTAATTGACAGTTGAAGTTTGAAAAGGGACGTGATGTATCATTTTGCTTACTTGAGATAAAATCTGATACAGTGAAAAAATTTATTATACTGAATAGTTTAGGCTCGTCATTTAAATGACCTCAATTTTACATAATGGATTGTATTCTTGATTGTAATTAAAAATATATACTAATTAATCAAATATTTGATAATCAAAACTATATATATGAAAATATGTACTAATGATAATAAACCAGAAGGATAAAAAAGAAATTTTATGCCATATATTACAAACCTTTCTATAAATTATGTGTCATTTCTCCTTTTTCAGGTTTGTGTTTTGGTTATGGTTAACATTTGAAAAACCTCGTAACCATCCTGTGATATCAATAAAGGAGCTAAAATACATAGAACAAAGTCTCGGAGAATCGACTCAAATAGCCATGCCGACAATCAGCACGACTCCTTGGAAGAAGTTTGCGACTTCTATGCCAGTCTACGCAATTATTGTGGCTAACTTTTGTAGATCCTGGAATTTTTATCTACTAGTTATTTTCCAATCGGCCTATTTGCAGAATACATTTGATTTCAAAATCGAAGAGGTAAAAGAAACAAGAGAAACTATATAATAAAAAATACATACTACTACTATACATATATAAATAATTACAGACTGGTCTTGTTGGATCATTGCCTCATTTACTGATGGCTACTATAGTTCCATTTGGTGGTTTACTAGCTGATTATCTGCGCAAATCAGGGTTGATGACAACAACAACCGTTCGTAAAGTTTTCAACTGCGGCGGATTTGGTATGGAAGGAATATTCTTCCTTGTTGTAGCTCATGCAAAAACAGCTGTGAGTATACCAAATTTTGCCTCCTATATTACAAAACTTAAATATATAATAATAAAAATTTATTATTCAGATGGCTGCTACAACTGCATTAACTTTTGGTGTGGCATTTAGTGGATTTGCTATATCTGGCTATAATGTAAACCACTTGGATATTGCGCCAAGATATGCAAGTATTCTGATGGGTTTGTCCAATGGAATTGGAACTATAGCTGGTCTGATATGTCCCATAGCAGTAGATCATATAACTAGAGCAGGGGTAATTATAACAATATCTAATTTCATTGAATAAGTAAATAAATTAAGTGAATAAGTTTTAATTTGTCTCTAATATGTGTTTGTTGTTTTTTCTTTAAGGGTAAAGAAAGTTGGAAAACAGTGTTCATTTTGGCAGCTACGATACATTTCATAGGCATCACTTTTTATGGACTTTTCGCTTCAGGAGAGTTGCAAGAATGGGCTGAGCCGACTGCCGAGGAACAACAGTCGTGGAATCCTTCTGTTATTGTTCACAAGCAAATTGTGATGCACAGGGAAACATCATTTGTAAGAAAAATATAAAATTTACCTACAACTACAACTAATAGTATAATATTAATAGTTATAGGTGGTATTAAGTATAAACTTTTTCGATATCCAATGAGGCCATGAACTTTGGCATCATACAAAACTAAATCAAAAATCCATGCCTACAAAATTTACAAATTTGGCTTAGAAATTTTGGATTTTTGGTGGACAATATATAGACATTATAGAGCACTTCATAGAGAAGTGGTTCCGTTGATCAACGCTCATGACCAATAAATTGAAGACGAAGAAAAGCTCATCAACATGCTTATCAACACATTTCTCGAATAGTTTTAGAATTTTCAAAATTTTTACTTATTCTAAAAATTCCAATTCGGTGCAGCCATTTTTGAGTAAATGTCAAATTTTGGCATCAAACGATTTATGATCCACTTTGTTAAAAATTTACAAGTGATTTTTGTTTTTCCTCAGGGCTCTCCTGTGGATCCAAATTCCAAGCTAAACATCGGTGCCGGTCCTGGTTACGGAGCAGTGGAACCCATTCACCCCACGAACCCATTTGCCTACGCGAATCCTGTCACCGAAGAACACGTGCAGCCTGAAGCCACTGATTCCTACATGCACGGCGGTGACGACCTCGGAAAATATCAATAAAAAAATGATTATTTGTTGTTGAAAATCGCAGGTTAGATTATATATATATATATATATTTCTGTTTATGTATGTTAAAAATAGCTAGTAAGCTTTTTGAGATATATGAAGCGCTGATTATATTAGAAAAGTCGTCAAATCGAGGATTACTTTAAATACCCTTCTATTAAAAAAATATTGCTGAAGTTAAATTAATCGATTTGTTATAAATTTTGTTGAAAAGCTTGGTTTATTTTTGAACGTAAATAAATATATAGCTTTTATTTATGAGAAAAAAAAATTAAAATTAATATTTTTGTCAATAATAATCTATTTAATATAATTATAAAAATCTATCTGATGTTAAGCCCGGATATTAAAGTAAACGTAACAGCTCATATTTGATTAATAAAAAAAATAATTTTGAAGAAAAGAAAAGTATATGTATATTCAAATAGTAAAGACAAAACAATTATATACTTATGGCTTAGCTTGGCCTGCATTAATTGTTTAAATTGGTTTTGTAGTTACATATTTCATTTAAAATTACCTTTATTGAAATTATTCCAGCAAAAAATCATTTATTTATTAATTAATTAATTTATTTATTAATCATTAATTCATTTATTAATCATTAATTTTAAATTTATATATTATATTTATAATCAGTTTTTTAATTTAGTTACTAAATAAAATTCAATATAAATTGCGACAACTAATACCTAATTTTTAATACAATAAACAAAGTCCTTTAAAATTTGATTTAATTTTATATCAGAAATAATAATTAAATATATATGGCAATTTTTTATGAACTTTCTATATAAAATATAATCGTAATTTTAATAACTGTTCAAATTTATAGATCTTTAGGTATTGTTCCAGCATTCGTTAAATAAATGCACAGTGTTAAATAATATAGTATTAATAAAACTACTTGGCAATATATTGTTCAAAAATATTTAATACTAAAATGTCAATTTATTATAAATTCAATATAAAATATAGGTAGAGTATAATTATATATCGTAGTAAAGTTTCAAATTTTTAATAAATTTTGCAATTATTTTAAAATAGCTGATATAATCATTTTTAATTGTGATAGTAAATAATTGTAAATATGTAAATTAAATATATTGGAAATGGAGAATTTTGAGAGGCGGTATTTAATTTGATTTTTGTGTAATAAAAATTTATTTTAAAATTTTAAACATTTTTTAACAAACAAATTTATACAACCGTTACAAACGAACGTTATAAATTATATCTTTGTTAACATTTAAATGATTTTATATAAATTAAGATTTATTACATTTGTTTATTAAATAAATATATAAAGGAACTCTCACGATAAATGAAAAACTGGAATTAATATTTATAATTTTATATAATATTTAATTATTCAAATTTATACTAAAAATTTTAGAATCCACAACGTTATAATAATTTAATAAATATCGCATGCTTACGGTTTTTTATATTCAATATATGCTCAATTAATAGTATTCTGTATATATATATATATATATACATATATATACATATATATACACATATATATATATATATGTATGTATATATACATATGCATATGTGTATATAAAAATGTATATAAATTTAATAAATGTGTGTGTGCTTATGAATATTTTGCGCCTGAGTGTGTGTATGAATTTGATTGTAATTATTTCAAATAAGAAACTTTTTTGAAAAGTTTCACTTAGATTCAAGTTAAAATTGGCAAACAAATAAGTCAAAATTTTAAAATTATAAAAGCCATTTTAAGCTTTTATAAGTTGCTTTGCTTCAATTTTTTTAAAATTCTTTCCCCTATTTAATATGTTGAATAAAATTACTTGGGTACTAATTTGTTAAGTACTTACAAGTTATTGTTTAATAATTATGTATGTTAATTTTCTTCAATTAATTTTGGGAAGGATGTTTAAACTTTATCTAAAATATCGTCAATTTATAACATGTAGCTTCAATTCACAAACATTTTACATCGTTACTGAATAAATCAATATTTAAAGAAATAATGTTTTGAAAAAGTAAGCAATATTAAAATTATATTGATGCTTTTTTTAATCAGAAACAATTTTATGCATATATTGGTATGAATAATGCAAATCTTGAAAATGTATTAGTAAGTGAAATAAATCGGTGTCATTCAGGATAGATGAACCTATTACAGATTTTTCTAATATATGCCTAAAATTATTTTTGAATACTTAACTAATTTTAACGTTACATATTTAATTACCTTTCGATTACTGAGTGTGGATATGGATTAAAAATAATATCTGTGTTAATTTTTGTTATTATAATTTATAAATGAGTTGTATTGTTTTTGAGGTGTTCTCACTCTCAGTGGCTGTGTCGACAATAATAAAAAATTGCTCATGCTTGCATGTGCAATTTTCATTCGATAATAAATCGATTTTAGGATAAATAATAATAGTTATAAATATTGTAAATATATAATATATTGTTTGATTTTTTCTGGTAACAGAAAGTAAATATATAAATAAGAATTTAGAGTGCAGCTTGAATCAACTTTGGACTAAATGTTGATTAATTTTAAATTAGAAATAATAATTTTGTGTAGGTATATAGGATCTTGTAAAAGTATTAGGGGTGAATACGTTTTTTGAATATATTATATTGATCGTATAATAAATTCCGTTTATTTTTGTCATATCGCGTTTATGTATACGAACTAGTTTATTGCACATTTTAATAACTTTTAAGACTAATCTTTATGTAATATTTGTTAATGTTGTTAATTATGAGTGTTAATGTTGTAATGGATATCGATGGAAAAATAATTTTTTGTATAAAGCAAATATTATAGTGAAGAAATTAGTACACTTTTTGCCGCTTGTATGGTCATTTAAAAGCACATTGCACATTAATGCACATTGATTATTTTTTGTGAAATATTACTAAATTTATTTATTTCTATTTTATAGTATCCATGCACATAATCGCACGCACTTTCTCTTGCACAATGAAAAAAAAAATTTAAGATTATTTAATGCACTTATTCTTTCATTTAAAAATTTGTGTTTTTTGGTGTTCTATTAGAAAATTGGTATTTCATCAATTTGTTCAATAAATATGCACTATAATGTATTACAAACTTTTAAATAATAATCTATTATTATCATAAAATATCTTAATTAAAACCTTGACTACTGGTAACATATATTTATAATTGCATATATAAAAAATATTTAATTAACATACTCTTTGTATTTTATGCACAAGTTAATTTTAAAAAAATATGTTTAACATTTTTTTACAAAAATAAAAATTAAAAATTTGTCACTTAGAATAATTATAAAAAAAAATTCAAACGTTTCACTTGAAATTAAATTTGCACTTTGACCTATTTCTTGATGTTTTGGCGACTTTAACAAACTAGATATATATTAATGTTATTATATGAATGATTGTTATTTGCACTACTGAATTTCTTGTCTTTGTTGTTAATATTGCAATAATTTTATTGCAAAATTTATTGTTAAATCAATCAAGATGTCAAATCATTAGCATATCAGTGCTGTCTTGCAAAATAGACAGCACACCGCTAAAATTAAATAAACGTCTTAATATAATTATAATTGTTTGTATACGTTTGAAAAATATGAAATATAATTTAATTATGAAACCCAAAGTTGATTTCAAGTTCACTTATTAGAAGGAAAATTCAATTCAAATGCCGTAGTCCGCGGCCATGTAAATATAATTTTATTTATATTGACTACGACATTTGAAATTTTAAATACTGATTATAGAAATATTAAATTATATTTATTGATAGGAAAAAATAATATCTGCAAAAACGATTAAATATGCAAATATGTAATAATATAAGCAGATGATCAATAATTATGTTAATAATAAATAAGGGAAATTTATAGCTAAATGATTTTAATAAGTATGAATGTAATAGATTATGAATGAACGAAATGAAAAATTGTTATTAAAATTTGATGGAATATATTGCGAGATATAATAATTATAAACAAAAAAGTTTTTTCTAAATATGTCTATTCGTTTAGTTCATTTTTTTTTAAAAATTTTTTATAAATATACAAGTTAATTCATTGCGTATAGTTTTTCTAATTTTTTAAAAATTGTTTCTGTGTTTTTTCTACTGAAGTAAAATCAAACGTGCGAAAAGACAAAAAAAAAACATTTTACCAAAATTTTGTTATAACAAAAACTTTTTTCTTTATAATTATTTATACATAAGTGTGTATGTTTATAAATATTTTTGTGTGAATGTATGTTTGCGAGTGGGTATTTGTGTATATACGTCTGCACATTATAACTAATTAATTAAAATTATAAGTATAATTAAATGTATCATAAATATTTATTAATTTCAAACCTTCATTTCAAATTTAGTACATATATAAATTTAGATTTTCTAATTGTTGACAAAAATTTAAATTTTTGCTTGAGTTATTAATTTACAAATAAGTATTATATCAACATTGTACAAAAACAATCAAATGAAAATAAGTAATGGATACTGATACATTTTGATTTTACATTAAAAAAAATCTACTCACATTTTTATAATATTATACAAATATTAGGTCTGGTTTTTAATAAATTCTTCGATTTCATTAATGATGTAATTGATTTTGGCCATAAGATATATATAATATTTATATTTTTATTGATTTGCTCAATAAGCCAATTATTAATTTTTTAGTTTCATGTATCAATAATCTAATTTTTCCCATAAATACTGTTTTTGTGAGAAAATCCATGTTATTTAATGTCAGTAGGTTGCAAACGGTTTTAAAGATTTCAAAATAAAACACATGAAACGGCTTAGCTAATTATAAAATATTGCATCTGTATACTCAATTATAAAATACATTATTATATTATTTATATTAATTTAATCTGATGATTAGAGTATTGGGAATAAATTCTTTTCGAACTAATCCGAATACAGCGGCACTAATCTAAGAGAAACTTGAACTCAAATATTATAATTATGATGTTTATTTAGCAATAATTTATATATATATAATTGAAATAAATAGCAATAAGTAAATGACTATTGGTTAATAAATTAAATTTGTAGATACTTCATATGTTTATACATTTTTGTTCCATTTATATAGTTTATAAGAAATCTAATTGCAATATAATATTTAAGCTGGTAATTCTATTCATTCAGTTAATAAGAAATGTATCCGATGCATAATTTCGAAATAAAATATTTTTACAAACTTATGCAGTTTTATTTTAGAATATATGCTTTTTGTAAGACTTTTTTCTTGAACTCGTTTTAATAAAATTAATATTCGAATTAAATTTCTGTAAAAGCATATATTTGTAAAAATAAAATAAAATAATATTATATCTAAATCACATAATGCACATGTAATTCTCAAATATCTTTTTCGATAGAATTTGGAAAAACATAACAATTTTGCAATTGTTTGCAATATTTCTTCTTATAATTCTTCTATATATTTTTTATATAAATATTCTTATATTTTCAATTGTCAAGTACTATTTCAATTCCATTTAATAAATTATTTTTAAATGAGTTGAATGAGATAAAAATGAGTTGAATGAGATAAAAATTTAAAATTGGAAATATAAGTTTTGAGAGTAATTTGCAAGTTAATTAAATAATATAATTATAGCAAATTAGATCATTTTTAAATAAAGAATACACTACAGATATTTATTAACTCTTTCCACTCGGATGCCGCTACTCCGGCGGCAAAATTCATGTAAATCTCGAAATTTGCGAGTGGAAAGGGTTAATATTAATACGCTTAAACGATTTTTTTTATTGATATATTATTTTCATATCTAAGTCAGGCAGCTGCGTCTGTTATAGGAGATTATGAATCTATTTTCATATTTTATATATATACATAATAAATGTCTGTTTCATCTTACTTATGCATTATATTTAAATATCTTTTAATATCTCTTCAGTCACTTTAGTCTTCAATTTCTTTATAATATTTCTTTATTTTTCTTTTGAAGTTATGGTCATTAATGGTGAATTTAATTTTGATATTAGATAGAAATCGTATTAATAGAACAAATCGTTTAAAACTTGTTGTTTTCATAAATGATTTAAAATATTGATCACTATATTAATTCTATAATATTAATATTATAATTATTCTATTAAGAATTATATAAATGATTTTGCATTTCTAAGCTTGAGTCTTATAATTAAACCTATCAGTTTAGTTTTATTTATAAAAATATTTATAAAATCAACTAACTATAATAGTTAGATCAAAATTTAAAATATAATATAATTATATTATAATATAATATAATATAATATAAAATTTGTGTATTGTAATTAATAATATTTTACTATTATTATATTGGTAGATGTTTTATCAATTCATCCTTATGTTGGTATCCTGTCAATGAATCCTAGACATCCTGTAGATAATTCATTCTAGTAACAAGTGCGGCCGCGTCAACAAGTGTTTGTCATTTTGCAACTTCGATTTTTGTTTAATAAATTTTGAAATAGTTGTCGTTTTTAACGGTGAAACATATTTAACTTAATTAAAGTGTTATTAGACAATGAGTGTTATAATTAATCCAGACTTTGCTGTGACATGAACCGGGTTATCAATACTTTTACAATGACAAGCGGCATTTTCTTTTTGATGTTTTCGGTGTCGGATAATGGCGTTAGAGATTAAAGGTAGATGTAATATTTTTTTGTAAATGTATGGGGTTTTGAGGATATTTTACATTTTCATATCTGTGAATCATTTTATTAACACTTATTCACAAGCAAATAAAAATTATTAACGTAATTACAATAATCGTTAACGTCAAAATTATTGCTCATAAATCGTACCAATATTAAGTACTTTTATGTTAAAATGGCGGCGTTTAAGCAAGTACTTGACACAAATATTTATTGCGCAATTAATATTTATATGCGGATTTAATATTTCGAAATTCATGCATAGAACAGTTTTTTTTTTCTAAATGACGCTATGAAAAATTTTACAACAATATTTAGGGATCTTTTCAAACAAAGTCTGTGATATGTACATACAAATGGTTTGTTTGGCCAATAGCCAATTTTTTTGGAACAAAATATCGCCCAAAGATTATGTTTGTTCGAAGGTTAATTCATGTTTTGGATTTTATATATTTTTGAACAATGATTTATGGCGTAAGTATTTTTACAATAGGCTACAAATAAACCTACTCCTGAAAAAACGGGCATTTGTTGCACAAATTAATTAATTAATAATGCTTTAAATAAACAAGTTCTCATAAAAGTCACCTTCATATTGCGACACGTGCTATTAATACTGCTAACAAATGCTTGATGGCGTTGGCAACAATTTATCGAACAAAATTATGATTTATTTTTTCAAACTGAAATTTTATAAAACTAATTTATAAATTACTGCAAATATGTGAATGAAGTGTTGAACAAAAAGCAAATATTTTTTTTGCTTTAAACTATGGCTATCATGAAAATGCAAGACAGTTTCTTTCTATATTTTCATATTTATTTATACAGTTTAATTTAGATATGTTTCATTTATTTCAAGCATATCAGTTGTCTTTAAAAAGCAAAATAGTTTCATTTCAAATGATCAAATGAAAAATGCCCCTGTTTTATAACAAATAATTATTTTTTTTGATTTTCAAATATCAATCTTTTTTATAGTACTATTTTTTTGTATTTTTAATGGATAGTTATATCCATCTACATGAAATGTTGTATTTTATATCATGTAATGTACATGTATTTTATATCAGGCCCAATTCAAGCCCAAGTTTATTTGAATCAACTAGTAAATAATATTTACATCTAGCAGAGCATATTTACAAATAGTTGATTATAAAATTCCAATTAAAACGATGCATCCAATTCTTATATTGATTTCAAAATTATTATTATTTACTATATTAAGTATATAAATGAAAATTTTAAAATCATAATCCAAATAATGCATCCAATTTGTTACCATTCACTCAAAAATACAAGTCAAATTAAATTGACATTCTAAAGCAAATTTATTTTTGCTTACTCTTATTTTGATATATTATTCGCAAGATATCATATATATCAGAAAAAATACTATGCATATTTCAGACATTTTCACAAATTGGACTGAAATTCTTTTAATATATGTATATAGAAAATTTAGAACTATTTCTATTTATCAGATCTACATTAAATTTACATAATATGATTTTGAGCAGAAAGAAGAATTCTCAAGTTCAAAAATATTATGTTTCCCCTTAAAATGGTTGGCTACATCTGCAAAGCCAAACAGTTACACCAACCTACTGTCAGAATTTGATAACAAACAAATGTCATCTGACAGCTGACTTTGGACAAGTATAAATACAACATGAATACTCAAAGAAGCCGTGTAATTAATTTATACAAAACTGTAAGTACCACTAAAATAATTCACATGATCACTTACCTTGTCGTAAGTAACTTTAATTACCTGCAACTATTATTTACAGTTGCACTATTTAGGTAATAATTGGCCAAGTGGTGCTGAAAAATTCCACAGTCGCTTGAAGGCTGTGTTTTTGAAAAATAAGGATGAAAAAGACCCAAATAAAATTGAAACAATGATTAAACATGGAGAATATGTTATAAAGGAAATAGAGGCATTATATATGCTGAAAAAATATAGAACCCTTAAAAGAATGTACTATAATGAGTAAGAACACGATACAATATGTGTGTGGAATTCCTATTAGAAACTGTGATTAGCTAAAATACAATAACAAGTAGGATATGTATATATATAATATTTTTATACCTATTGCCATAGTTGTTTCAATCTAGACCGTATCTGAATTTTTCTAATATATTTTCAAAAGCCAAAATTATCTGATATGATAATGTAAACTTTCATAAATAAAATCGACTGATCAAAAATGAAAGACTTGTTCTTGTAACAACAAAAACTTCATCATATTGATATTTTATTAATGAATTTTTAATAGATATAATTTTATTGTATGATTTTATGCATTTTCTTATATTCTATATATAGTGTTTTATATATATTTTAAAATAAATATTTAAACCGATAAACAATTATTTATGTTGGTTCTTGTCCTAGAATAAAGAGTGCATAAATAATTGTTCAGCTTTCTGGAATTATTTCAAGTATAATATTTCATATTATTCGTAACACTTAAATTAAAGGTGCTTTACTAAATATTTTAAGCATATATACTGATGTTCATTTAGTTCTAGTCTTAAATATTGTCTATAAGAAAAATAAGATAAAATTAATTTTTTTGCTAACCGATTTTCTACTGGAATTTTATTTAACAATTTATAAAGTGATGGTGTTTATATCAGTTAAATTTTTACATGATCCACAATTGTGTTTTACAATTTAAAATAAAAATAAATTAATATAGTTTGTATAATACACTATTATAATTTTTATAAGTATTTGTATTTAAATCTATTCTTTAATTTATATAACACACATTTTTCTACTTTCATTTTACTCCGAACTTAATTCGTGAACTACTATACAACTCGCTTTGTTGTATTTGCCCCTCTTTTGTCTTTTCATTCAGTGTTTTTCAAATATATTATTAAACATTTAAATAATGAAGTATATGGAATGATATATGTTCATGCATATACTTGAGTTTTATATAAACCAACAATTGTAACACATAACTTCTATGTGAAAAATTATACAATTCTTATTTCCATTAATATATGGAATGTAGATAGAAATTAAGAGCAATGAAATATTCGTAATATTTATTTATAATATTGATTTTTCATAATCACATTAAATGGTATATTTTTCTAATTTTTGAATTACATATCATACAAGTTTTTGAGTTGGAACATATATCAAACAATTTTGAATTATGTTGATTCTCCTGCTTTCTTCACGTCAATTTTTTTAAGAATTCTTTTACTAAGAACAAAATGTTTATTTACATTGTGCACATTTATTCGACATATATTTTTCGCATAATTAAATGCAATCCTAGCGCAAACCTGACTTTTCAGACATATTGGGGTATATCAATAAATATATTCAGGAAAATAGCAGTATGCTGATATACGTGTAAAATTTTTATGGAATAAATTTATCAATTTTTAGATAAATATCTAGTATTTTTAAATAGCTATTGATATTATTACTAAGCTCCATTCGATACACAATAATTTTACACCCTCATTTAAAATACATAAATTTTTGTATAATAATATTGTTACAATAACAAATGACTTCTATTTATACTAAAATTTCTATTTAGAGGAGTAGCTTCTATATTGTCAGTGCCCTATAGAGTAACATATCTAAGCTTCACGTTTTCTACTTAAAGGAATTCCAATTTGATATCGGTACATTTTAACTGATTAACTGAGTTCATTAATACGTGAATGCCAAGGCATTTACCTATATCCTATTATGTAAAATAACGATGGCTGCATTTCTTTGAATTACAATCGTTATTAAAACGAGGCAAACTGAAATTTTTGCCCTTGGATTGCAGTGCTTGAGTGAATCGCTTTTGGCAAATGGGATAATTATAATCATATCAGAGTCCATATTATGTGGTCCAATATTTAGTTAAGATTTGTATTATACACACAGCAAAAAATATAAAATAAAAAATATATCCAGGAAAGATTTGTGAAAACTATTATAAACTAAGATTTCTCGATATACTTTCAGTGAATCTAATTACTTCGACAAAACCTTTGGAGTTAGAAACTAAATTCCTAGTAGTTTAAGGATAATATTTTGATTTGAATTGTAGGCTGCTGTATGTACATATACATTTTTTTTTTTAAATAAATTACAATGATTAAAACGACGTGCGCGCGTGCATCTAGAATCTACGGCAGAAACCTCGGGCACTTTTCGTAAGTATAAAACTTAATGTATTATACATTACATTTTGTTATCGAGACATTAAATATGGTTCACATTTTTAAAAATACTACGTTTTTGTTGTGTACCTATGTTTTGATGATGAGAATACAACAAAATATAAAATTCAGTTCAGTCTAACATTAATGAACTTATAACATGTAAAACAAATATGTATCATTTTTCAATTGCATAAAATATCCTACCAAAATCTATCACAAATATAGCATTTACTTCAGAATCAAAATTTGATAAATTTATGCAAAAATGATACATTTACAAGTGTGTTCTTTATTTTAAATAATTATCACCGAATTAAATTTAACAGTTAAAATAATTCTATAAGCTTTCTGCATCGGTATTGTCAATTGATATGTAACAAAAATTTTCTGCAAACTTATGTTTACGTATTCAAAAGTAGTTCGTTCTTAAATATTTGTTGTTTAGGTTTTTATTCCTAAAGTCTTTTTCTAAGGAACTGATCTAAATAAACAAATCAACATATTTACAAATATAAATATTCAAACACATAGTCTCATACATCGTCTACGCAATAAACTTAATATCAAGTGGTAATTAACAATAATTATATGTAGTTTGATAAATATAGGCTGTTAATTAATTTTCATCAAGTCTTTTTATACAAATAGAAATAAACTAATGAATAAGTGAGACTCTTCTCTAATGCTATGATTACAAAAAATATTTTAAATTAAATTTGATAAATGAAAACGAATGATCATGAACGTGTTATGTTACAATCTCAATTTACGTAGGTATACACACTATCAACGCGTTTGAATGAACCGAATGAACGATGGACTATATTATACTGAATACAGAGAATACTAGGAGTAACTTTATACATTTAAACAAGATAGTTCAACAGCATATTTTTTTATATATATTTATATTTATATATAACGATTAAATAATAATTTAGTTCCGATTTCGATATATCCGATTTCTTCATAGTTGCGGTCCTTCTCCAGCTTCAATTTTGAAATCAAGTAGACTGAAATAATAAAAAATAATTAAAATTTTGGAATTCATATTGCGTTAGATAAATTTACATTGCGTGATTTATCTGTATAATTTTTTTATTCTTCGGAATCACCATCAGGAAGTTTGATAAATTGGAAAATTTATAGTGATATGGCTTCAATAAGCACGAACTTCCAAAAGTGCCCACAAGTGGTGGGAAAGCGCATAAAAAGCTGCAAAAACTGATTTTAGTGTGAAAAATGGCCGAAAAAGATTGTTTCAAAAATTGGGAATCAGAGGACGAGACACCAGAAAATTTATGTACATGGATGGCAAAACTTTCCAAATTGTTGCAAAATTACAAACCGCAAAATATTTTATTTAAAGCTCAATTTTTTAAAATTATGCGTGATAAATCCAATATTTTCAAGACAATTAAGGTCCACTAAGGTTTAGTCCACTGTTGCCTATAGGGACATCCGCTTGATGATAATTTCGTCTAAAGACGGCATTCAGAGTGTCGTTTTCATTGATAATACAGGTCCACAAAATGAAGAAAGTTGTTAAAATTTCTGGCTTTTTTCCGGCACTTTTTACTTTTAATGACCCATACAATGGATATCTGCATTACTTGTTCATCTTTGAGTTCCTTTTTGTAGAATCCAGCAGCAATCCACAAACATATTTATTCCCTAATGCCCCTGAGTAACCTGCAAATACGTTTGCGGTTATTTGGAAAATGTTTGCAAATTGCTGCTGGATTCCACACAAAGAAACTTAATAAAGATGAGAAAAGCGTTGTAAAAATCCTTTGCCAGGTCCTTTGAAGAGAACATAGGGAACGAAGAAAAGAAAGAAACGATATGAATTATAAGATTTTAATTGTTATGCAGAAAAATTACTAGATCGGAGTTTGTGTTATTTATTATTTTTCCGTTTTTTGCATTTTGACCCCCGAATTTGACTTTAGATTCGTGTTCGGAGTAAGAGTTCTTCAGAAAATATATGTCGCACATCCAATACAGGCAACCTTATTTACTTTGTGGACCTGTGTAATGATTTGAAAATGTTGAAATATATTGTATAAGAAAGAGGTTAGGGGCTTGCCGTCTCGTACAGCAGTGTTACTCCTGAGATAAATATTCTCGTAGCGAAAGGATTCAATAAAGCAATTATAATTGCACTACTAAGTATTCAATTGAAATGTACTATTTAATACCTACGTTTACCAAAATTAGAAAATATGGTGTTTCTGGCAAGGTTTCTAAGAAATCGTCTTAAGAGGACAACTAGTGTGAAATTTTCAAAAAATCGAATTTTCAATTTTCCATATTTCGATAGGTTATACCTTTAAAAATAACATACCAAAATTTTAAATCGATTTTTGAGTCACAGCCATTTAAAGAGCATATATATATAGTATATAGTATAACGATCATTTTATCTTTAAACGCGTTTTTCTCGAAGCAGCATTTTCCGAATTTGCTGCAGCGATTACTCAAAAACAAATGATCCGATCACTACCAAATTTTCTATACATATTCTATATATAGTTATCCGTAAAATGAACTATCGATTTTTTGATCGGATCAAAAATCGATTTTTGGCAGTCCAACAATGACCAAAAGTTTGGGTAAAATTCGACTGTCAATTTTTGTCATTTTTTTTTATTTTTTTCTCTATCGTAGTTCATCTTACAGACAATATTATCTAGTTTAACGAGATTTTTTTTTTTTAATTTCATCCACGTAGAAGGCCGGAATAACTGCAGCAGTGAAGGTTGTCGCGCCGTAGATCGACGACAACTTAAAAATATATTTAATTTTTTTCTTCAAAAATTTTACTATGTATTCTTAAAACATGTGTAAATATATTCCTAAAATTTAGTAGTTTTTTTTAAAATAAATTCCCAAAAATCACCTTTTTTAGGCGGTTACACTAGTTGTAGCCCTTAACGGGATTTCAATGTATCTATTACAATATTCAACTGTAGTAGAGTCCACAATTAATTTCTATCCCAAAATCCACCCTCATTTACCTTTTTATCCCCAGCATCCTAAGGGTCGGGGCCAGTTTAGTCCTTCTTATCGTCTTCGGGGTCCTTGAGCGTGTGCCACTGCGCGATCGGCCTGCGAGGCGACGCCAGCATGTCAGACCAATGGCGCAACTCCGTGCCAGATGCATTGTAGCCCAGCACCACTTTACCGATAGGTTCTGATGTGCCGATACGATCGTAATCCACCACGGTTACCATCAGGTTCACTTTCTGCGGAACGAAGTGGAAGAAACCGCGGAAATCGCGGATGAAGGCGGTTAAGGGATGATAGTATATATATATATGTGTATATTTATAAAACCGACTTGATAATCATTCTTTTGGAATGTTTTTTTCGCGAAACTGCCGAATTTGAATGTATGGGTATGATAAAATTCTTATCGAAGCAGAATTAATCATAGCTGTTTTTGAGATTTTATTGCAATTTTTTAAGGTAGCCATTAGTGGCTAGTTTGTTTCTCACGTACATTTTTTTTTCATTTTTTTCATTCTTACTTTCATTTTTGGAACAGTAAATCAAAGATAAAAGTTCTTTCGAAAAATCTTTTTTTGCAGATTTGACGAATTTGAATGTATGGGTACAAGGTACAGTTTTATCGAACCAGAATTAATCATAGCTGTTTTTGAGTTTTTGCTGTAATTTTTTAAGTCAGCCATTGGTGGCTAGTTTGATTTTTCACGTACATTTTTTGGTTTTATTTATTTTTTATTTTTTCTTTCATTTTTGGAACAATAATCAGAGATAAAAGCTCTGTGAGCAGAAACTTCTCCATTATGCTGCTTTTCAAATGTTAAGCTTTTAATATTTAAATTTGTCTGTTTTAAGATAATTTGTTTGATTTCAATATTATCTGCAGAAAATATTAATTTTACGCCAGTTATTTTATCAAGAATTCGAATAATTAAACGTTAATTATATGAATAAAAATTTAATAAATCCACACACGGTAGTCAAATATTTCGAACCCCGAGAGGCGATGAATCCATCTTGTTTTTCAATAAAATCTTAGTATTTATTAATACTAAAAAGCAAATAATTTTCAAAATTACTAAAATTAACTAAAAGAGTTTATCTTATTGGCCAAGATTTGACCAGGGCTTTTTCTATTTAACCCGGGACCATTAGGGGTAGGGGATACAATGGTATGAGTATATAATACCTGTAACTTATAATAATAAAAGACTAGCAAATGTAACGAGAGAAGATATCATAATCTAAATAGTGGTTTTATTCACATATCTTGTAGTGATGGAATGAGATGGTGATAGATCAGAATATTTATAATTTACGGTCCGCTTATATCAAATTAATCATAGTCATCCTCACCATAATTGTCTAAAATGCGACTCGAAATGGACCAATTATGATGAGGATTACTATGATTAATTAGATATAAGCGGACTGTAAATTATAAATATTCCATCACAATAAGATATGTGAATAAAACCACTATTTAGATTATGATATATATTGAACTTTACTCTACACACCTTCTTCTCTCATTACATTTGCTAGTCTTTTTATTATTATAAGTTTCAGGTATTTATACTCATACCATTGTACCCTACCCCAAAGGGTCCCGTGTTAAATAGAAAAAGCCC